GAAATGTTGTATCCGGATACAATACTCGTTTTTAAAAGTATCGATACAGTGCCGTCACCAGTGGCACCTAAGCAGTCATTCATCTAAAATGCAGAATAGAGGACAATGCACTTTCAGAACACTGTGTGATTGAATAATTCTGTGCTCTTTTCAGTTTCAGACTTTTTTTTGTAAGAAGTGCAGCTGCTGAGAATTATTTTTGTTTCTTAACCGGTTTGGCTAGTGTCATTGTTATGTATGCAAAGCATAGCCAAGGAAGGAACACTTAATTTGAATTTTATACGTTTTTTATCAAGCTTGCTTAATATTATGCACAGCATACAACCTTTATTGTGTTTATTTATTATATTTTATTTATTAATGAAAATATTTCTGTAGACTTTTGGAGTCTGTTTTTATCCTTGTGGTATCGAAAATGGTATCGAGTATCGAATATTTTCCTTAGTATCGGTATCGAGTTGAAAAGTTTAGTATCGTGACAACCCTAACTACTACAAACATAATTTTTATTCTAACTAAAACGTTTATTAAATAGATAATAGTCTAGTAGCTCTGTAATCTTTTAGAAGCAATTAAATACTGTAAGATTTTGGCTGTAATTAAAAAGCATACCATTATGAACTCCAGCAGAGATTTGTCTCCTATCAAAGCAGTAAATTCTATCAAATTATTCTAAATTTATTTATCAAGTATATTCATATATATATATATATATATATATATATATATATATATATATATATATATATATATATATTTATATATACTTAGTTTTAACAGTAAATTAAAATAGAAATATTAGCTAATATATAGACCTAACCTGTGTGGTTACCTATATAGTAGTTTTTTTTGTGCCTAGGATAGCCATAAAATCCAAATGCAGCCTGAAAACAAAGAGCTACAGAGGAGAGAAGGATATTCAGAATCATTAAAATAGTAATTAGCCCATTATGTGGGAAGGGAACAAAACAGTCTTCTTTGTGGGTAAATGAGTCAATTGGAGAGGAAACTCAGAAGAGAGGTGCTCCATGCCCAGGAGCATCAAGACATCTGCTGGCCATGGGGCCACAACAAAACAACCTGCTGCAAAGAGCTGCTCCCTTCCCCTCCTCTCCCTCACATTTATATGAACACACATGGATGTAAACTCACTGTGCCAACACTCTGCCAGCTCTTTACACTGCCTCTACAATCTCCACAGGAACAATAGTGTTTTTGTCCTCCTCATCAATGCAATCTAATGGAGAAAAGGGTGATTTTTTCCCCCCCTTTTCTTTTCTAAAACAAAAATCTGTTCAATTAAAACTGGTTCCTGCCCTGAATATAATAAGGGCAAATTTGCTAATTACTAGCATTAGTTAATGACTGAGGATCAGAAACATGCCTGGGATGTAACACTAGGTGTATTGTGTTAGAGTCAATTATTTTTGCTTTCTTGGATGGATTGTGCAACAACATTAAAACATGATAAAACAGACCCGTATGAATTTGTCGGACAATCTGCATGTTTTATTTAGGGTCTTTATCCAGTTTCATAACTGGGACATAACCCATCATTACAATGCCTTTAAATAAGGAAGGTTTGTACATGTGATACTTGTTTCTTTAGTTAAAAATGTTATTCCTTTGATTTTTTTTATTTAAGGGTTTGTCTGAAGTTGATACTGCACTAGCTGTATTACAGTGATATTCAAAATGTTAACAATTTAAGAACCATTTAAGGTATTGGTTTGCATGAGATACTATATGGAAGTAGTGTATGATTAGCTTAAACTGAGAGCATATACTGTGTGTTCTATTATTATGCCAATGTGCTTTTTGATCACATCACCATTTTCATTTATAACTGCCAACTCCCAGCTGGATAAGTGTTAATGCTTTTTGGATTTCAACGTATCAGGTGATGGGTATTTGTTACATAAGATTTTAAGAGTGCGTTCCTTTTCCAGGAATGCAACCCTACCTGGACTGCCCAAAAAAACAAGATGGTCAGTGCTTGCAGACAGGGCAAAGGAAGGAGGGCAGATGACTAACCACCGCTCTACAAGAACACAACTAATTCTAAACTCATCAGAACCTACAGCCAGTTTTCAAAAGAAATTTTCTTTGAGCATGCATCTTTGTAAAAGAGAATATTTTTGAAGCAAGAAAATAAACAATGACTCCACTGTGCCTCCATTATATTTATTCTTCTTTATTCCATCTTAACCCAAAAATGAAATAGGACATTATTTTATCATCTTCATTAAACTGTTGTGATTGTTCACACCAACAGTTGCCTATTTCAAACATATGTATTCTCATGAGAAGCCTCGATCTCGCTTTGTGCTCCTTTAACGATGTTTGTTGATATTTTGGATTAAATGAGACAACTTTTCAAAACTGTAATCCAACCTCAGTAGCAACCATGTTTTTATGCTCTATTTAAAACCTTTAACACTCAGACAGACGATAGGTCAGGTTATATTTTCACATTTCCTTAGAAAATGTTGAATTACCTAAATTATTTATTTGCCTTTACGATGAAGAAAACAATACTTTATACATAAATGTTTTATATAAATGCCTTATGTTTTTAATTTACCTTTTAAAGCAACAATGCATAACTTCTAACCCAACTGTCGATTTGAGATATATGAAAGGATTTTTCCAGGTCAATTTACAGCACTTGGGATGTATAGATGCTACATGCGGACTGTGCTTTTTAAAAACTATCTATCTATCTATCTATCTATCTATCTATCTATCTATCTATCTATCTATCTATCTATCTATCTATCTATCTATCTATCTATCTATCTATCTATCTATCTATCTATCTATCTATCTATCTATCTATCTATCTATATATCTATCCATCCATCCATCCATCCATCCATCCATCCATCCATCCATCCATCCATCCATCCATCCATCCATCCATCCATCCATCCATCCATCCATCCATCCATCCATCCATCCATCCATCCATCCATCTTGTCTGTCTGTCTGTCTTCTGGACAAGCTGTTTTGGCTTTTCACACCCACGCCCTTTCCAAGGCCACGCTCCACCGACCTGCAACCATGACAACCAGTCTAAATTGTGTGAAACAATGTTTTTTTATCTTTCATGGGACTGGAGCTGGGACTTTGGGATGGCCACTTAATAACATTCATATTATAAGCCAGTTTGCAATTAGTTTGCAACCAACTTGGTGCTATGCTTACGATATTGATTCAATAATTTTCTTCCTCAAGCTCTCATCTTTTTTATTAAAGTGTACCAGTTTCTCCTGCAGGGAAGCACCTACAGAACATGAAGCTGCTACTCTAGAACTCTCAGGTTCAAAGATTTTCCCAAATGTCTTTTTTTCCTTTTGCTCTCGGTCAATTCTCTAATTTCACATGGAAACACATTCACCTTTAATCCACAGAGCGCATCTTCATCCTAAATGGTTTAATGACTTGATACTTATATGGTGCTTTAGTGCTTTAACAAATCTAGAGTTCTGATTTTAAAGAAACCAAAAAATTTCTGTGAATGTTGTGGATTTTGGTAAATATAAATAATTTAGGTGATCCTAACAGATTCTACAATTTTCAATATTCCTGGGTCTTTATTTATGGATAGCAATTTAAAAATACTAACGCTTAAACTTCTTTTTTCTTTTACCTACTTGTTTTAATAACTTCTTTTTTTAAGAATCAGTTTTCAAAACACATGGAAGTAGTGCTCACTAAGCACATTTATAACTTGCAAAGTGTTGAGGTTTCAGCGAGGGGCTCAGGAGCAGAGAGCAGGAGGACGCAGTGTGGAAGTGTCCTGTGGTTGTGAGTTGTGATGACAAACGACAGCTCTCCTGCAGAGTCTGTAAATTGGCTTGGCGTATCACAGACACACAGCCACGCAACATCGCTCAGGTGTCACACCAGGGAAGCCTCTGCAGAAGAAAAATACCTTCCAAGCTTCGACTTTGATGAAGAGTAAACAGCACGACAGGCTTAGTGTTATTGTAATGGAGGGGGAAATGTATAAGCACATGTTCTGTCTGTAATTGTGAAACATTCTTGCACTATCTGATGAAGCTTAAAACATGTCAAGGAGAAAGACAAACGCATCTCTGGATGTTGTCTGATATCCAAGCAACAAATACGTTTTAGGTCAGTGTGAATTGTAATGATTAGGTATGACATGATGAATGCAGTATGTAGGTGAAGGGATAAAAATAATGTAGCCATGGTTTAGTGTGAAGACGACAAACCCGTGAAAAATTCATTAGAATGGAAAATTGCTTAGCAAACAATTCAAACCAAATTTGTTTCATTCAATTGTATTGTAAGGTAGAAAAAAACATGTTTTTGTCTAAGCGGAAAAACAGATGAAGTCAAGATGCTGCCATGATAGTAGGGAGATGAAATGGGGAAAACAGAAAGTTGTGAACGACAGAACCCCACAGTCTCTTCTGAACAGTTCCTCTCTGATCAGGGTGGAGCCACCCAGAGCACTCACTGATTTATCTGGCACCTGAAACAGCTGCAGAACTTACAGCTGTTGTTCAAACAGAGGTCCTATTTGTCAAAATGACTGTTCACAGGAGGAAGATGAGTCTAGCTGGTATAACACAGACAAAGAGATGAGTCATGATCTCTCTATGTGTAGGTGTTACATCCACTGTTTAAACAATCTAAGACTTTCATATGATGTAAACATTTCTCAAATATCACGTTTGTTTATATCAGACATATTGACTGAGAAAAATTGTTATCAATTTTGAGGCTTATTCTTTTTTTAATACCAAACATCTAATTCTTCTTAAATATTCCTGGTTTTATATGATATGAATCATACAACAGTTAAGAATTTGTGAATAGACAAATGGTTGATACTTTCTGTCATGGCTACAAAACATATGATACTCTATAAGAAGAATAATGTTGCTGAGGTTTCAAAAAACTCTGTTTATCACATGGTATCACATATCCTGTTTAACCCTTACCAGACCCATTCTGGATCAACTCACCTGAACCTCTGCGCCTGGTGGTGAAGTGGGCCGGGGTATCGGCGGTTAGGAGACTGGTAGAGCTGTGATAGCAGGGCTTGGCTGGTCTTCTGACTTGGGTTGTTGGCGAACTTGACTGTGATTGGCTCGGCGGCACCAGAAGGTTTCTGACCATTTAGGCCCTTGATGGCCTCTTCTGCTTCTATCCTCTTATCAAAGCGAATGAAGCCAACACCTCGGGAGCCACCTGCGGGGCCAGCAGATCAAAAACAAAGGGAGGCCTCCTTTTACTTTACATGTTTTAAGGAGAACGTTAATGTTTATGTAATATATGTATATACCTTTTTTTAAGCCAGGTATTGACATTTTCAAACCCCTGTTGGTCATCTCACTTTGCAGAAATTTAACTACAGATCAGTTCTTTAAAATACTCATCATTAGGGAAAAAGGGTTTCTTAATATTTCATGACTTCCTTGGCACAGATTAGTATTCATATGATAATTTGTATGTAGTCTGTATAGCTATGTCCTTACAGGAACACAACTTATTGATCAAAACGCTTAAAAAAAGCCTTAATTGAGCCAAAAAATGATAGAATATATAAATTAGCAACTTATTTGCGGATGCGGGTTGGCTTAGATTTTACTGAGAAAACAGTAAAATCATAAAAGCATTGTCATTTACAGCATTGAGTTGTTCCTTCCAAACTTCAATTTACAAAAACTACAATAACATGAAAGTCAGTTATTAGAAATATGTGGTCTTTGCTTTTAATCTCTGTATGTGCTGCACTGGCTTGTTCTTACATTGTCATGGCGCTTCACTAATGGAACTATGGCGTTTAGTGAACGCTTTAACTTCTTTCAACACCTTCTTCCATTGCTGATTCCACAATCCAAAAAACTCTGGTTTTCACTCACTCCTCAAAAGGAAACTAAAAACTCACTGACTGACTGTAGCCCTAAAGTTGATTGATTTATTCAAAGTTTTCATGCGGGGCATATCCACTTTTTCATACGATCCAGCTGTAAAGCCAGGAGCATATTAAGCAGATGCATTGGTGGCCCAAATAAGCAAGTTGTGGCATTTGTTAGTTTACTGTTTTTTTTTTTTTTTTACCACCAAATGCTAATGTAAACAAAGAATATAGGATCTTTCTGACTTAAACAACCGTGACTTTGAATAACTTATTTGACAGCGTCGCCATGCCAGTATTTCAAAAGCAAGCATATTTCTTTTTAAAATTCATAGAAAAACTCTTTAATGAGTAATAATTTTGCATTAATTACAAAAAACTCCCTTGTGAATGACATAGTATTTACATAGCATAGACATAATAACAATCATAATTACAATCATAACAAAAGCACCTTAATGGTAGGTGTGACTGTAATTAAAAGCCTGACCCTTATAGACCTGCTATCCAGAAGAGTTCTGGTACCAGACTGCAATGTCATTTATTTGAGGAAACTAGATAAGAATAACCCAGACTATAGACTAATTCCTTGGTTTAAGCTGCATTGTCCACTCTTTTCTTCTACTGTCTGCACTCACGGTCACCACACACTCTTCATGTATTGTTCTCAGTGACATTTAAGCAGTTTCCTTGGAGACACTTTTTTGACTGCCACCTAAGAGGAACATTTAGAGATGTGCTTCCCAGGAGGTCCTTTATTGGTGTCTGTGAATGCTTTGTGTGTTTTATTGACTGACTACTTATGGATGTGTGTGCGTATGTGTACATGCACACTAGTATCTATTAATGGATGCTATGCCACGTTTTAATGAGGCTGCCTGGATGGCCCAGAGGATACTCACTCAGTGACAGCAGCACTCTGCCGAAGAGACTATTTACATAATACTGTGCGCACACAGACATGTCTGTATGACTGAAGCTGAATAAAAGAAAGGCAGTAAGAAAGAAACCAATGTTGTGTTTGGGGGATCATTGTGTGCAGCCTCTTTCTCACACTTAAAAAGCTCTCCATATTGTTATTCCCCATTTTTGTACATGCTCCTGCTCTCTATTTCTTTTAAACATACACTTTCTGTTGGCTTGCTCATGGCACTATCTCCTCTGAATTCTTATTCAAAGTAGCACCTTGACCATCTCACTCTCTTTTGTTCTTGTTTCCTCAGCGGGACACAGGCAACACAAGGTTATTTAATTTTTAGCAAAACTGCAGCATAAAAATGCACTCCTTGAAAGCCAAGCATTAATTAAATTGTCTTGTTCTGTCTTGTAGTGCTGCACATAAAAATGGTTTATCTCCTAGCTTTGGTTCTAGTCCTTAAAAAAAAAAATAAATGATTATCTTTTTGACAAAGTAAATGTATTAAATTTAGTTTCAGGGAAACTGCAGAGCAGGTCACTGATTTAAATCTCAGCCTAGCATCTTGCATACATTTTTCATGTCTCTTGGTGCATGATACTCCCTAGGTCAACTAACTTCTCTCCAAAGTCCAAAAATATGAGTGTAGTGTAAACTTTTTATTCAGAGTTGTCCTTAGTTATGAGTTTGTGCATGCATAGTTGTACTAATCTCTGCTCTCTGTGATGAACTGGTGACCTTTTCAGGGTGTATTCCATTCCTTAACGAATCATAAATGGAGAGAGGCACAAGGCCTTCCTCCACTGGAATAGATCATGTAAGGGATGGATGAATGTAGGCAAAGGTATACAGTAATGTGTCTTCATGCACACGTATACACACACTGGGTGTACATGTATAATCAGAATGTGTATTTGTAGGAGAGTGTTGAGTTTTCTTTTTTTTGCTATTAAGTTAACCAAAAATAAAATCATCAGAATTATTATGAACACATTTGGTCATAAAAGCTGCCATCAAAAAGCATTTCTACAAACAGAACATGTTAAATGCTAAATAGGGTTGAGTACCATTATAATATTAGAAAGATTAGAAAGCGTCAGTATTTTTCAGTAGCATATAGGTTATAGACTCATCTGCATTAAAATAATTTATTTATGATTTATGAGTAATCTGAAAAATATCTTGGCATAGTGTTAACAAAGCCATACACTAAAGCAGTGGTTCCCAAAGTAAGGAATAGTTTGGGAACCACTGCATTAAAGAAGCATTAGTAGAACAAGCAGTTTGGATACAACTAAACTTTCTACGTACCTAAACTAAAAACATGTTTTAATATTAAAGAGGCATTACTAATGAAAACACAGAATTGCAGCATCCTTCTGCTTGTTTTTGTAGCGTGCACAAGTACCTCACAAGGTTGTTTTTTTCACCTGCCATTGGTGTCTGAGATGAGCTGGATGCCTGTCACATCTTAAAAATAATGCTTCGATTGTTTGCTAGGTCCGGCCCATTCAACATGGATAAACTTGACATCACATCCACTAAACTTCTTACCCAAAGTACGTTCGAGAAAAAGTCTACAGGCTTATAGATACATCGCTGCTGAAATACTGAGGTGTCAGTCTGCTCATCAAATTATGTTTTGGTTGTACTGTAAAGGGTAAGTAAAAACTTACATAATGTCTATTTAAAAGAATAAGCAATATGACAAATAAATAAATAATACAAAGTAATGCAACTTTATGAACGAATGAAAATAGTAATTTAAAAACGATAAAAAACATTAAATCTTGAGATTTTTTAAGCTATTAAGCTCCAGCTTTGGATTCCAAAGACCTTAACTTGGAGTCTTAAATGGCTGCACACAATCCTCATAACCTTAGATGGATCACAATATTTTTCTTTTAGCCGTTTGAGAATTTCATTAGCACTCAAGTTAAATTATTTTGTTTCTTTCCCACATTATATATTTTTTTTAGTTCCCTCTCCCCCGACAGGCTTTCACAATTTCCCCTCTCTTTTTTACCTTTGTGCCAGCTCTGTTCCTGTACATTTTAATTAGGTTGTCACAAGCAGAAAAATACCAATTCTAATGGGATCTACACAGTGCAAACAGCCACCACTGCTGCTCCAACTGCTTAATTTATTTATTACAGTTTTTGGCAAGTGTGAGCAGAGTGTGAGGTAAAATTAGGGGCATTGGTGTATCTCTAGAGCTCCTTTTGTTCGATGGCCATGTGCTGTTCTTTTAGTGGATATTTGCAGCATAGATTTCCTCCAAGTACTAAAAACTTCCACAGCAGCATACTTCCTCAGCATACATAGAATCCACACAATTTCACTAAAGTATTTGGCTAAAAGACACTTGGACACTCCAAGAAGCTTGTTCAAGGGCACCTCTGTGTTAGTTAAAGGAGTGGAGAGTGCTGCTTATATTCATCCTTCACCACGATGAGAAAAAAGAGAGGACTCTGTTTCGTCCTTTAATCCGCATACTTGTTTGGCCTTGAGCTCCTCCTAAGCTGGTTCTCACTGGAGGCCCTCCAGATAAATGCTTGGCATACAGATGAAGGCCCAGCACAAACACGCACAAGAACGCACGCAAGTATGTTGTGACTACAAGAAATTGCTGTTAAGGACAAAGTGGGAATAGAGATGAGTTGCAATAAAAAACTATCTAAATAAAAAGTGTACAGCTGTCTTCACTACCTCTGTCACACAGATTGAATCTATTAATATTTAAAAAATTGACCCATGAATAAACTGCATAATAAGGAGGTGAGACGGCCAATGAGAAAAAGAGTAAGCAATGGAGCCAAGCATGTACACCCAGCAGAGGCTCTACAATCAGTACTGTCAGCAGATGTCATATAACAGTGTTTATGTTTGCTGATGGCGCCTAGTGTAATACTTTTAAAGTAAAAAAAAAGGACTAAGTTAATGCTAACAGTACAGTCATTTCGCATATATTGTTTTATTCAATGATAACTATGTTTTTCTTTTATGTTTATCTATAGTTGTCGTATGTGACTAGGTCCCTTTTAGGTTTAACACTACAGAGCACACTGACACATTCTAAATCAATAATGGGAAAACAGAGATTGATTGATACAAAATTAATTTCTGTGCTGTTTTTGTGATGTTCTGTATACTGCATGCACTCGTATTAATGCCCACATACTGTAGACACACATATAAAGGTGCACTGATGTTGACCTTTCCCAATGCCTGTACTTAAAAGAATAAACAAAAACATGTGCCTTTTTTTTTCATATTCTACAGTGGACTGCTTTAATATAGCATGTCAAATATTTTCCAACTCAAACTATCTTTCTGTTGCTGCCTGTCTTGATCAGAACACTTAAACAAAATACTTTGATATTAATTATCCTTTTCTCGTTAAATATATGTTTGAATTAATTA